AAAAACAAAAACAACACAATAGGAGGCTGTGCTGTTTCAGCAGCTGAGAAAGGACGCTGGTTTAAACAGGCACAGATCAGAAAGGACAGGGCGAGATAAGATGCGAGAGTGGAGGGAGATGGCGAGAGGTGGGGATGCGAGAGAACTCTGGGTTCCAACAGATGGCGACAATATGGGTGTCCTCCTTTTCTAATGTTAGGCTTTTGCGTCACACTCATTTTTTGCTCATTCAAAACCAAATCCAATTCTCTTTCATTTTGCCTGCACTTTCCTTTTGAGGCACAGAGAGCTTTGATTTTTTAATTAAGATCCTGAAATATATTTGCAAGCGTCCACTCCCTTTACTGTGCATCAATCAAAGTGGAGTAAGACTATAACACACAACTTGTGATGCAATACACTTCAACAGCATCACTTACTCTTGGATACGGAGTCTAGCAGACATTTTAAAGTGGCATAATAAAGGCTTATCCCCTGTAATCTCATTTATTGTAATACCATTGCAAAAACACTTCATCAGAAACACATTTCCTCTTTAAAGACCTTTACATTGGACACATTCATGGTTGCACAAGTTTGATTATTAGAAAGCGTCGACATGGCTTTCCTAATTAAAGACTATTGAAAACAGTAATTCAACTACCTTTAGGTCCAATCCAAGCAAAATCCTCAGTGACTTTCTTTTCAAATAAAAAGTTGAATTTTCAGGATACATCTCAAAATGGTCTCCTGAAAGAGAAGAAGTGGAATGAAAAGCAAGGAAAACGTGTGATAAGAATGAAAACCAAGGAAAACGTGTGATGAGAATGAACACCGTATTGCCGATTAGGTCTTCGTGAGAAATAGAAACACAGTGAGCAAATTCCATGATTTGATTTAACCACAATAACATTAAAGGGAAAGTTTCCAATGGGTTGAATTTTCAGTGTTCAGCTAAAAGTGAAATTGATTCCATGAAAATAAAACAGGATTACTCGGCATAGAAATAGAGAATGAAAGATGCTTTAGAGCTAAGGCAAAATGTCAGAAACACAGCGTACCAGAGTGAAACAAGGGGCACAACTTGTGGCTGTCATGTAGGAGTGTGCCAAACAGACTCTAAAGATGTCCGTTCCCAGCTCTACCTCGTGGCTCTCCTTCTGGCTTCTTTCTATCTTTTCTTCTTCGCTGCCTCATGAATTCATGAAGTCAGCCTGTCGGTTTTGATTCTGTCTCTGTCACCATTGATTCCTTTCACCCTCCTCTCTTAACTTTTTTTTTCCCCATTTGTTTCTCTCTCCGGACATTTGACCATGAACTGACCCTCATGAAATATGAAGCACAGCTGGAACCACTGATTCTGCCTATTTCTGTTTCGAATGACGTAGACAGAAATAACTGTAAACTCATCTTCTTTTGGGAGTGCTGCATCCTTTCTGCTCAGTGTCACTGACTATTTCCAGTACATTGCTGTTCCAGCTTTTCCGTTTTGAACTGAAGATATATTGTATTTATTGGCTTTTACTTCTATACTATATGTATGTTTCTTGTTCTTTGCGATCATTTCATTAGATTTGTATTTATCTTAATTTAAAGGGGCTCTATCATGCTTGTTGGGGTTTTCCCTTTCCTGTACAGTGTTTTATAGGTTTTGTGGTTGACCAATCACAACAGAGCCAGCCAGCTAACCAATTAGAGCAGACTGAGCTCTGGTTTCAGACAGAGATACAGCCAGTATGAGAAAAATAAAGAGCTTTCAGAACATAAAAGCATGTAAACATGTCACAGTAGAGGCACAAAATACAAACCTGAAAACCAAGCAAAATAGGGCCCCTTTAATGTTTTGCACCAATTCAATGGAGCAAATTACTTGCATGCAAGAACTGGGTGGTGATAAACCAGATTCAGATTTATTTGTCTTTCATCTAACTCAAATATTGTCTTGTTTTCACATCTATCCTCTGAGTTTTTCCATCAACTATTGATCTGATCGGTACCACTTTACAATAAGACTACCCTTATAAAGGGATTACGAATAGTTTGTAATTAATGTATTAATTAGGTTGTGAACACTTTATAAATCATTAATAAGCTTTTATAAGACATGAGATAAACAGGGCAACTGTGACCGGTTGCTTGCCAAATAGTGAGCCCACATTTATCTTTACTGCTAAGCCTTATATTGGCTACTTAGCTTACTTCGTCTTCTTCATCAGCCAGCATCCTTGGTATCTGTTGTTCACTGAGTTGATTCCCCCCCTTCCATCTTGAAGTTTCTTGGCATCTCTTATGACCATCTATGAATGAGTTACTAACATTTATAACTACCAAAAGGGAGCCTTATTGTAAAGTGTGAAACAAATCACCATTTATTGATGAGTCACTAACATTTATAACTACTGAAAGGGTGCGTTGTTTTTAAGTTTAATACACATGTCCATTTATGAATGAGTTATAACATTCACGCTGACCTAATACACATTTTTCACATGAAATGCAAAGTAAGATGCAAGAGTGCCAAGCAAAACATTTTATTCACACATGAAGAAAAAACATAAGAGCTTTTCTCAGACATAAATGAAAGACCTGGTAAGAAATAATGGTACTCAGACTGGAAAGGCTTTGTGTATATCCTTGAACAAGCGTCCAAGCAGTCCATCAGGGTGAGCAGAGCCAAGATGACCATTCAAGAACCTTGAGGTGTTCCTCCAACAAACTCTCTGTACGGTTTCCTGTCAGTCTATGGACATGTCCTTTGACGGTCGACCAAGCTCTTTCATTATGTTGGGAATGACTGCCAGTCTGGGGGTTCACAAACCACCTGCTGTGGTTTATGGTGCAGTGGTTGCACCCCATGTTACTCAGCACTCTCCTGTATGCCCGCCACTCATCACTAATAATGCTACTTCCTGACTTAACATGCCATCTAATCAGAGGGACAAGGTGGCATCTTGATCGTTTCTCCAGTAGTTTCAACACTAGTCTCCGCCTTTTGTCTTTTACTCCCATCATTCCGAAGACCCATTTTTTCCTTCTCCAGGTATGTCCAAAGCGTCCACGTGCATACTAACAAAAAAGAAATCATAACATCATCTTAATTAACAACAAAATGCACACAAATTACAGTAACAATTGTTGCACATCATGTTTCAAAATGCCATACTTGTTTATTAGGTGCATTGTATAACATAATTTAAGGATAATTATACAGTAATGGTCCATATTGATTTTTTTGTATTTATTTGTATTCTCTTGTACAAGAAAGCCCAGTCTATAACTGCCGAAAATAGGAACTGGGTACATTACCTTCTCCCAGACACAAATACTCAAATAAAATATTTTACTTTATCAGCATTGGTATTACCAATGCTTACTATTTATTTGATACCAATTTGGTAATACAATTAATAAAAAGAACAAGGTTTGGGTTCCTTTTCAGATGACTGTGACGTTAACGTGTAAACTCAATAATGAACTCCAGCTCAACCAACCATATTGTAATATCTAAGTAATCATCTTGAAATATGACATTATTATTTGTAATGTACACACATCTTATTGTGAGGTTGATTTCACATACACTACGCCGCTCTTCAACACTACTTTGACGTTAGCTTGTCTACATAATCGAGCATAGCGAATTTAAATTAACCTTATCAATGCATAAAGTTACCTACCTAATAAAATATCTCTCTAACTTACAAGGATGACCTTATTTTACCAACCTCAAACAGAAGCCGTTTATTCTACAATATTATCCCACTTAATGCTCAACACTTCTCTATTACGTTTTAACTTGGAGGCTACGATTAGCATCGTTAGCACAGATGTAGCTACCACTTGCTTACATGCTAACCCAAGCCTTAACATTCATTAACGTTAGCTGACTAAAAACATAAGCAACACATAAATAAAGTAATCGAATTTCACTAACCGCAAAACCGCATTCATGCACCGTCTGTTTTAACCAAAGAGCGAGTCACAATAGTCCGATATAAGCATGAAGAATAGTCCACAAGGCACCAGCACAACAAACACGGCCGAATTCAAGTTATGTTCCCCGGATAAGTTGAGCAGGCAGAGCCCCTGTAGCATCACGGAGCTGCTAGCAGAGCGGAAAGCTAACAGCAGCAGTCACTGGACAGACCTGTCACTCAATGTGACCACGCCCTAATTTATGCATAACTTTAAGGCTTAATATAACTTAAATTAGAAATGGTAGTAACTCATTAAAAAATGGGAATGTGTTTTACACTTTACAATAAGGCTCCCTTTTGGCAACTATAAATGTTAGTAACTCATAAATAAATGGTCATAAAGAGATGCCAAGAAACATCAAGATGGATGGGGGGGAATCAACTCGGTGAACAACAGATACCAAGGATGCTGGCTGATGAAGAAGACGAAGTAAGCTAGGTAGCCAATATAAGGCTTAGTCATCTTGCCAAATAGTGAACCTGTGTTGATGTATGAAAACTATGTTAGAACTGGTTTATAAATGGTTCTTAATGATTAATAAAGTGTTTACAACCTAATTAATAACCTAATTATAAACCCTGTATGAATCCTTTATAAGGGTAGTCTTATTGTAAAGTGGTACCATCTGATCTACTTCACACTTGTTTGGTGAATTGCTGAGGACTCAAAGAAGCTCATTGTCGAGTGTGAAGTTGTTTGTATAAGCAGTTCTTGGAAAAAGCTGTAAGCACGGTACCAAAGGACAAGCAATCGAGCAATCATTTATTTTTAAATGGCAAAACATGTCTTCTGTTTCCGTACGTCAGACAAAAGGGTGTCGTAAAAGCCAAAAAAGTATTCATGTGTGTCATTGTCATTCTCTGCGCTCTGAGTTATCTGGGCCGCAGTTTGACTTTATTGCCGATCTGTTCTGTAATCTCACCCAATGTTTACCAGGAATATTTATCTTTTATTTTCTCTCACCCTTCCTTCACTATCTGTTCTAAGCCTGGCTGCCTGCTGCTGATTATTCTCTCTTCCTCTCTCCTCCCATTCCCCTCTAGGATGAAAAGAACCAGGTGATGATCACAAATGCCTGGCTGCAGATGGTATGTCTCCTCTCCGAGCACTTTTGTGTGATCACTGTGTTGTAATCGTCATTTGGTGTATTTTTGGACATTATGTTTGTATCCTGTGGGCTCTGCCATCTTTTTTTATTTTTGTTTTAATGTTCACATCTAACTGCTGTTGAAGGCATGAAGCCCGTTTTGAGCTGCACCTAATTACCTTTTGTTTTGTACAGAAACTGTTTCTGTTACTTCAGTGACTCTTTAGGGCCTCATGTGACAATAGAAAACAAAGGGCTAGTGTTCGACGGTGCTGTCAAACTTGTTATTTTCATACAAAATTAAAGGCAATGGTTCTGTCAACCTTTTTTATTTTAGGTTTATTTATTCTTTTATTATACTTAACAGTAGCATAATACATATTTGTGTTGTCAGTGTGAGGCTTTGTCACTTTAGAACGTAGATAAAAACATTTTATCAAGCCAGCAAATCTTGTTTTCTAAGATCATTTCTCAATACTTTTCCTTGGGTTACATTCATTTGCTTTTTTAAGCCTTTAAATGTAGTTGCTGTTGTTAACCCTGTTATTATTTAGCTATTGCACAATAACGGTGCAAAAATACTACTCGTAATTGAACAATTTTGGACAAACATTTTTAGCCGGCAACCATTAATTTGCTAGCTAAAAAACAAGTACGTAATAGATTCAGTTTTTCATAGGAAGCAGGGATTTGTTTTTTAACATTAACTGTGATAAAATCTTGGCCTCAGAAAGTTATGTAATGCTTTTTTAGCTTTAGATAAGCTAGCTAGCTAAACATGCTAACAACTTTTACTTCTGTGTTGTTTGTTCTGGAAAGGAACAACCTTCTAAAGTGATAATGCTGAGAGGATAGCAGCGCTACATCACCAGCTGAAATGATGGCCCTGCACACTTTTAAGTGAAAACTAAGAATTGGCACAAAGAAGAAAAAATAGTTTGAACATACTTAAAAGCTGCTGTATCAGGAATTGCATGTCAAACAAAAAAAGATCAGAAGTTACAATTTTTTCTTTACTTTAACTTAGAAAAAAAGACGGTAAAAGAAAAAGTCTGTGGCTTCAGGCGATCCACGAGAGAAGTCTAATCAATGGAACCTTGTCATGCACGTCTGAGAAAACACTTCATCACAGCTGAGCTAGGATGCTAATGAGTTTAACGTCAATTATCAAAGTAAACTGTCTTGTTAAAGTCAAAGTAGTGAATATGTATACTGCATTGAATTATATAAACACTGACAAGCCAAGGAAATCACAGTTTAAGTCTAAACCTGTCACTTGTCCACGAACAGACTGACCGGACATTGAGCCCCATGGATTTAAATAAAACGCCAATCATCTATCTCCAATGACACACTGATAAAAATATGTTTTGCTCTAGTAAATATTACTATGATTATGTGTTTAAATTATACAAGAAATTACTAATAATTTTCTTTTACTCAAAATCTCTCCTTTTATTTAATGTGTTACTTGAATTTGCAAGTAGTTTTGTATCTTCATTTTGATCATAGCACCAAGTAAATGTTAACTAAAGTAATGGGTTGACCTAGTAATATACCTGGGCAATTACGGCCCGTCCACACGGCGGCGTGCGTTGAAGCTTCAACGCTTCTTCCCATTCACGGCCCGTCCACACAGCGGCTTTGGAAGCTTCTTCCAACGCTTCTGCCCATTCACTTTGAATGGGGTGACGTCACTTTTCGCCGAACTGCATTGTGGGAAGCAGAGCGGAGCTTTCCTGGCGTTTCAGGCTGCAAAAGTTGAGCAATGTTCAACTTTTGAAGCTTCTGAAGCTTTCGGTGGAAGCGTCAGCCAATCAAATCATATGCCAGTACAAGCTCTAGCCAATCAAACCGCTGCTTGTGTGTCAGGGGCGGGAGATTCATGTGATTGGTTGTTGGTTGAGCTTCAGACATGCCAGCCCGCAAGCTTTTTCCAAAGCCGCTCTGTGGACGGGCCGTCACTTTGAATGGGGTGAGGTCACGCTTTACCGAACTGCATTGTGGTTCCGTCGGAGGAGTTTGCGCACAGTACAGACATTTGAAAAAAAGCATACGGTTCCAGTTGAAGAGAAGAGAGCATGGACCCTCATCTAATATGAATACTCGTGGATTTTGAATCATGTAAGTATATTTTTGTACTTTATTAACTCTGTACATCCCTGTTAGCGTGTCAGCTTAATGTGGATACCAAACAAACAGTGTTTCAGCTTAGCAATTTAGCTTGTTAGCGTGCTAGCTAATTTAGCCTGCTTTCATGGACGAGGCACACACAACAATATAATACTTAGTGGTTTAGTAGTTGCTTCAAATGAGTTAACAGCTGGCGAAATTCACCGTTTTGAATAAAAAATGTGGCAGTTGGGCACTAGTAGTTCAGAGAGGTTTTTTTACTTCGGGGGTGTTCGCGCTACATTTTCAAATGCTGCTCGGTAGTAAAGCAGTGTGGCGCCAAACTGAGTTTTCCTTTACTGTGGGAGTCAAGTCAATTCACTCACATTCATCCGACTGTGTGTGATGCACATGTGTGCTTTTATTTCCTGTGTACACTGAGACAGATAGCGGCACCAGATTCCTAAAAAAAGGGTATGCCTATGTCACATTCACTGCCATGGACGCCGCTCTGTGGGCCAGTCTGTGATGTGGCCTGTTTCACTGCAGCCTAAAGGAGAGGGGTGAAGGAAGACTACTGGGACAAGAGTTACTTTATTAGAAGTGTAACTGTTGGTGTCTCCTTCTGTAGCACGTTAAATTGAAGTTAAGGCATAATCTTTGTTTCCAATATTTTTCTGTACTTACAGTTATGTGTGTTCGCTACAATAATTGACATGTCTGTTAAACAGCACCACGTTGAAGTTAGACGGAAGCCGCCCTCCCGCCTGATGGAGCTTCTGGAAGAGTCTGCAGAGGAGCTGATTAAAGAGAACCAGGTAAATGTTCTGCTTGATTTGTGTTAAAATGTGTCTGCTGTTCTGTTTGTACATGAATATCTCTATTCTCTAAAGGTAAGTACATCTTGCCATTATGTGAGAAACCTCTTCAGTCTCCAGTTTTTAAGTTAACATTTAGATAAAGTACATTGGAATCTAATTTTACTGTATAATATTTATATATTTTCAAACTTACTCAATTTCAATGTTTAATATTCTGATTCAAAATGTGTTTTTCAGGAGAATTGATAGTTTGAGCCTGTAGAACCCAATTATTTAATCAGGTTTACTTCCTGTTGGGAACAAAGCAAACATTTAATAAACTGAGCTTCCTTACTTGTAGTCATACTTTGACCGTAACAAATAAGAGTTAATATAAATTCCCATATCCACACTGTAGCTAATGCATATGATAATAAAGCCCTTTGAACCTTTTGAAGCTTACCCCATCCCCTCTGCTTAAAAAGAACATGTAAAATCAATGGCTACTTAAATACTAAATTAAATAGCTAGCTCAACCCAATCAGTCTTAGTAAATTCACAGAAAAGTTTACAGTACTGTATGTTAACACTGATTTACATGTTTTGACAGAATGGAGGCAAAGATATCGTCGAAAAAAGGACTATGCTGAGTGTGTCGTGAAGCTCCATGTCCCCCATGAAGTGCAGCAAAAGAAGACGCCACACCTCCCAACGTGTCCATCTCCATCGAGGGATCTGAGGGGCTTGATGAGTGTAAATGTTTGGTGAACGCCTGCCTTCTGCTCACGGACATCATCCATGCAATGAACTTAAAGGTGGGGTAGGTAATTTTTGAGAAACCAGCTCGAGTGCGCTAGAATTTGAAAATACACAACCGGAAAAAATCTGCCACGTCCTTACAGAGCCCCTCCTCCAACACACACGAACGCGCACATGACCAATGAGGGCACGAGATAAGTTTGTGCACAGATGGAAGGCTGACAGGCAGGTAGGCCATCCAGTTATTTTAGCAGGGCTGGCTAAAATGATTGGTCGTGCTTTTTACAGCGCCACGGCTTCCACAGATGACATTTTTTTATGTATTTATTGTCAAAGCATTTAATATATTCATTGCTATCGGGATGTTAAGAGCATTCCATGGAATATAACAAAAAGTGTTTCTGAAATAAATTACATACCCCACCTTTAAGTTTTTGTTTGTTAATATTGGATTTTTTACTACAGGGTACGTGTAATACTCAAACAGCATTTAGCTAATTATACTTTTGCTTAAGTAACATTTTCATTACCAGACTTTCACTTGTAATAGAGTATTCTTACAGTGTACGACCTCTGAGTGACAGTCTATCAATGTGTTTCTGTGCCTGCTTTGTTTAGTTTAACGGATGTATGTGCAGTATTTGTTAAAATCATTGTAAACTGTAGATTAATCATGGCATGTACTGTATCAGACAACAGAACAAAAATAAATGTGTTGTTTAAAAGTGTCTACTGTTTCATGTTTTGTAGTAGCCTTAGTGTAAAACAGTTTTATTGAATAAGAATTGCATTTGATGATACTTAATAATTATATTTCAATATTACCTACATATTTATTAAATAAAAGATAAGAATAGCAAGTAAAAACAACCTGAAAAGCCAAATATTTTAATAAGATGCAAATGTAATCTTAAGTAAAATCTACTATGCAATAGTAAGTCAAATGTACTTACAAAAACTGAGTGTGACAGTAAAGTTTACTTAAGTGCCTTTAGTAACAAACACTTCTTAACTGTAAGTAGATGCTACTTGAAATATACGTTGTTAAATGTACTTAGGTTTTCTGAGTGCGTTTTCTTACCTCGATTTTCCTAAGTAAATCTTACTCCCCGTTTTTTTCAGTGCACTCAGTGCAAAAAAAAAATTACCATCGTAACTTGGCTCCTTGCAGATACAAAATGGCACGCTTCTGAACTCTTAATTGTCAAATTCCAAATAACATCTGTTCTGCCATCCAAGCATGTGGAAACCAAACTACTTAGCTCAGCTACAGCACATCTGTAGCATTATGTAAAGGTGAAAATAAGCTACAAGCAATATGCATTACACTGCTCAGGAACATGGTACACCAGGCCAGTCAGGTAGCAGCCTCTTTATCCCAGCAGTGAGAACAGCACATTACGGGGGTTGCAGCCTAAACTCATTCAGGTTGAGTTGACTGATGACTGGGTTATGAATCAATCAATTATTCAGAATGCCACTTCTTTAATACGTTCTTCTGTCCTGAACGTGGAGGATTTAAGGATTAGGCTGCAGGTTTATCAGGCTATGAATGCCCCACATCCGAAATGGATAGGATTTAATGTGTTTTTTAACTGTGAGAATTGTTATGAGATTAGGTTTTCATGGAACTAGGAGTTACTTTTGTCTCGTTCTCTGGAAGAGTGACATTGAAAGGGTCAGTCCAAATGAAAAGGTTTTATTTAGACTTTAATATTTTTGTCTCGGATATTCCTGCCTCTATCTGAGTACAATGTAGCTGATGTGCTCAAAATCTATCACATATAGGTTACTGTGGTGTTTAATAGTCCTCCAATCAGCTGTTTTTACAGGAAATAGTTTCTACCAAAGAAATAGGTATTTAAGAATTTTTCTTTAAATTCAATTTTAAATAAAAGTATCTCAAGGTTCAAGGTTCAAGGTTCTTTATTGTCAATCTGACATAGCTACAGAGTAATTATGTAGTTGAAAATCTTATGTCACAGGCTTCTCCAACAATGCAACATAATAACATAATAACAATAAGAGCAAGAGCAATACAAAAATAATAATAGTTATAAAAATAAAATAAAGTGATGATGTGGAATAGTGCAGTACGAGTCTATATACAAGTTATTGGAATGATATATATATATTAGGTATTAGATACATACTACTGAGTAGCAGATGAATGTTTGATGTTGTTTCAACAGTTCAATTTTTTAACAGTCTCACTGCCCGCGGGAAGAAACTGTCTCCGAATCTTCTTGTCCTTGCCAGGATGCTGCGGTAACGTCTGCCAGACGGCAACAGAAAGAACAGTTTGTGGCTGGGGTGATGGGGGTCTTTGATAATCTGTTGCTGTGAGCATCATTGATTACATTCCATTCACTTCCATTGTGTTAGAGTAAAGGCAGATATTTCCGGGACATACAGCATTTCTAAAAAAAGCGAGACGATGGCTTAAATCGAGGGATGGTTTGGACAGTGTTGTAGCCTAAATATATTTAGTTGTTGACAAAAATACCAACACACAATCGTTATCATCCATGCACACTGTATCATCCAATTATGCCTCTAAATAGAATACTGACTGTTCTGCCTAAGGAGGCTTTGCAGTTGCAGCAGATATGCTCGGAGAAGGTTGTGTTGACATTGAAGAGATGCATGATAATACTTGAGCTGTTACTTTTCCCCGGACAAATATATATTCTGCATATTTGCGTACAACACCCTCACAGTCTAGCGCTCAGAGAATCACACTATCTTAACAAAAATCTAGTTGTTTCAAATTAGTGATGCTTTCTTACATTTCTGTTACGTAACTCCAAACCTATTCTTAGACAGCTGTTACCTTACGCAGCCTGGTGTCCTCCACATTTATTCCTGACAGACTACAAAGTCACTGAGCTGTAATTTGCTCTGTTGGCTCTTAGTGGTGCTTTCCCAGCCAACGTGAACAACATTAAAAGAAAAGGCTCTGTAGCACCAAATGGCACGGCTCACAGATGACAAATGTAGGGATTAAGTCATTAGCCGCGTGAGTGGAGACATATGTCAGACTTCAGATGAATGGCATTTCTTTGAAATGGTTCAAATCCGACAACGTTAGTATAGGATTGTGCGTTATAATAATAATATGGACAGAGGCACATATGCACAGGCTGATTTCCTTGTGCACGGATTTATGCACACATTTTACAGTACCATGAACACATTCATGCAAACACACATCCACATATAGGCACAAACAGATGTGCCCAGTGTACTATGGTCACATTAGCACTGGGTCTGTGTTTGCTCCATAGAGATGTGCCCCTTGGCTACAACATATAAGTGCCTCCATCTTTATGTGACTATACATGCATGTGTACTACACACACATACACAGAAAGACATGATTAGAATGAATATTAGAGAGCACTGACCTCTGCAAAGGCTGATGGTGCATTCATGTGCTCCACGGATGGTCCTGAACTGTAGAGATGATGGACCCTACAGAGAAAAGGAGCTTTAGCAAATCATTTGTATCTGTTTTGAGTTGTTATTACAGCAGCCATGAATGCAGCACTATCCCTTAATAATAAAGAAAGTGATGCATTATTCATGTGTCCGACCCCTGATTCAGAACCACTCCAAATGTTTGGACCATGCTTCACCGGTCCAACAGGTTTTATTCAAATTGAGGGTTTTAAAGTAATTTACTGACAGATAAACAGGAGCCAAAACCATAACCTCGTTGGCGGACGTAACACACTCACATGAATGTCCAATACACACTAATATCCACAGGTCACACATTATCAAAGTAATAAAAATAGGCACAGATGCAACACTCGCTTACCCTTTGTGCCCTTAAACGCTTTGATGCTGGCCTCAGTGAGCCTCCTCCTGAAAACAGACCCATGCCGACTCAAATTGGAGTGCAAGGGTCAGTGCCAACAACTGCTGGCTTGGCAATGTTTTCCTGCCAGGTTTTTTTAAGCAGAGCTAGAGACAAAGTGTAACAGTATTTGGAATATAAGCCAGAGTTAAGGATTAACAATGTTTGACTTTGTATTGGTTTTGTCGTGGATCGCTATGGTCAACTAAGTTCTGCTTTGCTGTTGAGAGCCAGGATGTCCTTTATAGGTGTATAAGAGATGCTGTTATGCTCAGATGATACATGCAGTCTTTATGGCTTTTTACCAGCACTTTGAAACAAGCGTTGGTGTCAGAGCTGTGAACATTGCTAATAATAGTTTCAACAACAAAACAACAAATTGTCTCACATGTAGTTTCAAGCCTTGAATTTGGCATTTTTCTACCTGTTCTGTCATTTTCTCACTTTGTTGTCATGTGTGCCCTCATTTTTGTGTCCTCACCTCATTATCTGCCTCGTTTACTCTCTCTCTCTGTTGTTTGTTTCAGTATTGGACAGACATTTACCTTGCATGGAACCCAGACAACTACCCTGGGGTTCAGAACCTGCGCTTCCCTTCCAATCAGGTCTGGGTCCCAGACATCCTCCTCTACAACAGGTACGGTTGTCTCATCCTGTTATGTTTACTTTTGAACCTTATCACTTTTAATACTACCCTCTTTTCCGCGGGGCGGACGTAACAACAATACATTGATAAAAATGGAGGTGATCGAAATGCATGTGAATTGGAAAATTGGCGATTTGATTATATTTTTATTAATACAGTAATGATATGAAGAAAACTAAGCCAGTTTTCCAAATATTCCCCATCTTATATTAATCTGTCATAACAAAAAATTGCCAATCAACATTTAAGCAAAGTGGCCTTAAGAGTGGAAGGAACAAGAAGTATTGAAAAAGCTTTGGAATGTACTCTTTAGTGATGAAATGTTCACTGTCTCTTGATTGACTGACATAACACCAGACTGACATTTAAGATTGATAGCAAGCAATTTTTGCTACTTTTGCTGAAAAATGTCTATCAAAATCAAGCCTGCTGACTTAAGCTGCTTTCACTTGATACGCGATTTTTCTCTTTGCTCACCGTGAGTTTGGGCGCAGAGCCTTACGTTGAAACCAGCTAGTTAGTTTCATTTCTATGGTTACGTCCCCTGCTAGCTTGTGCCGCTATATTCAGCTGTCATCTGATTAGTTACGCTTCAAAGGGTCAGAGGTAAACAAGGTCAACGAAGCCAAGGTCAACGCTTCCACCTAGTAGGGCAGCAAGGCTCTCACAAACACAACGGCAAAGTCAGTGCAGCGTAACTGATCGAAAACTGATATAATATACTGTTTAACCTACCAAAATGAATACAAAAATGTGCTCTCTATCGCACACGGTCTATCCAACACAATTATCGCCCCTTATGAGACTACTTGGCTCGGAGAAGGGCAGTCATTGGCTCTATAGATAAAACCTCATATTTGTTGGTAACTATTTCAGTGGCTACTGGCCAGCACCAGCACATTGCCTTACCTGCCAATGCTCTTGCTGCTAAATTCTACTTTGCAATTCCTTTTTTAAGATATCTTTCTTTCCCTTTTATTCCTCTGTCATCTGGGCTCTGGATACCCGGCAACACAGTGGGTGAACATATTTCCCAGAGGAAAGTTTACTCTTGGTTACAGCTTGGTTTAAAGAGATGATTTAGCTGATTCCCTCTGGGAGGACAGAAACCAAAACTCCCATGGAGCTTTGCATCTGTTGCCTGCCAAGGCCAGTAGGAACACGTCATCTGGAAACACTGTAAAGTGGCTGGATATGTCAACAGATTTCTGTAATATACTTCATATGTAAGCAATTTCGAAGTCATTTCTTTTGGTCCTTTATTTTCATCTTATCATTGTATCATGTTTGATGAGATGGTTCACCTTCATATCAAACTCTACAGGTCTTATTAGAAACATTCATCTGGTTGAGCTCATATCTTTTCATGTCATTGTCAAAGAATGGGACTTTGATGGGGAGAAAGAGAAATAATGTCTCCAGAACAGCGCTTTGGTTTCTTTGATTCAGAGGTCAGCCTGATTGAACATCTTTCCTTTCAACGCGCTCAGCCATTGTGGCTTCCTGCTGTTTGGAGGGAGATGAGTCTACTGTGCCTGTTAAAATTAATTAGGTTGCTAGGGTGATTCTGTGATGGATACCCACAATGCCGTCTGAACTTGTTCAGTTTCAGTTGAGCGGCTTGATCTTTTTCCAGTGTATTTTCTCTTGTAGGCACCGATTTTGTCCACAAACAAAAGTAGCTTTTTTTGGCACTTATTACAGACAGCCGCCTACATGGTAAACAAGACTTGTTTGCTCTCTTGCTAAGCAGCTGTGACATACTTAAAAAAAACAGCAACACATACATAATGTGCCTCATGTGATACATCCATTGGGAATGATGCTGAAACACAATAATGAGTTCTGTTATTTTAGCTGAAAAAACGATCATGAAACACTATGACCATAAGGATAAGGATGAGAAAGACAAAAGAAAAAAGAAATGAGAAAATATTCGTACCTTTCCCAGAAGCTCCATCTTTTTATCTTCTTTTGTCACATGTAGGTTCCACCTTTTGTTTTTGTGCCTGTAACATCATAATAATCAGGTTATTGCAACAGCAAGCATTCTGTACAGTTTTACACCAATCCTTGAAAAAATACCTGCCTGACTAAACATACATCTTAGTAATATGCAAAGGAACTTTACTCCAGGAAATACTATGAGTAATAAAAGTAGTGTTTGCCTGGGAGTAAAACAGCTTTTTTCATAGTCCTGCTTATTGTTAGTGGCACCAGGGGAGAAAAGTTGTGTGATTGCCGACCATTATTAAACTGTCAAGCTCCAAAAGAAGGTATTTAACAGGGCAGTAAAATGTTTTTATTGCCTGAATGCTTTCCCCGCCTCCTTGAAATAACCCTCAAACGCAGTCAAAGAATCACACTTGTAATGGTGGAAAGACTACGCCAGACACGGCAGAGTTGATTACTTGGCTACAGTGTCTAACAGGGATGATACAGAACATTAAGCAGCTTATGGGGGGGTTCAGCCATCGCTAACGATAAAAACAATACAGTCCTGACACAGACCCAGATTCAACCTGACATGCCGTGTGTGTGCAGTGTGAATCGTGAGTGTGATCATTTATTTCTATTTTTGTGAGGCAAAGAAGCAAGCAAGAAAGGAGAATTAAACCATGAGATAAGATGAACGTTTGATGATCCCAATCTGGAAATGAGGTCTTTGCAGTAGCAAGACTTCTTCAGAGACAAAGGCAAAAAGCATAAAAAAAAGAAGTATATGTTTATATATATATATATAAATATAGAAAACATTTAACTGTGGGAGTATTTTGAACAAACGCCAGAAAAAAACCCTTTTAGGTTTACCACATGAGGACACACATTGAACACTACGGAACCAGTCATAGTGTTGTACCTGATTGTTCATTCATCTCTATCTCTCCTCTACACAGCCTACCAAACATGGCATGAATGTGGTGTGAATGTCACTTTGTCACTTCTGAAAGTTAGCGAACTTATCTTGCCTTCCTCTGAGAAGTCAGCCAATTCGTCTCACCTTCAAGAGAGGCTTTTCAGGACAATTTGAATTACTTTTTCCTTTAGAACAAAGATGTCTTAATGGTATTATTATTATGAGCCAAGCCAAAGAGGGGAGCTTCTAGGTGTACCATGTTAGCCCAACTCCCGTATTGTTGGATATAGAGTTCTGATGCTCTGGTAAAGAGACGAAGCTGCAGGTAGGGGTAGGATGTGGGAAGAAACTAAAGGTCCCAAGCGTCTATCTGAATGCTGCTTTGTTGGAGTTTTAGATATTTCTGACAGTAAATGTCTGACTATTTATGCCGATGCTGCAAACAGCAGTTCAAAGTATTGGATCTTCTTGGAGTCTCTGGATGGTGTTCCGAAGAGGATGATGCCTTGGGACTTCATAACAGACATATTGTGTGATCTGAAGCTAGTTAGTAGAACAACACCCAAGGCCAAAGATCAGGGACTTTGATGTTAGTTCTTTTGCAGAGAATTTGCAAAATAATGAACTTTCGTGATGCAGGAGAGTTTGTTTCGTCAGTGTACAGAAGGGAAGTTGTTTGGACATTAAGTGCTGTAATGCCGGACAAAGAGAGGATCTGAAAGTTAGACAGCTGCCCGTGTCAGCACCATAAAGAAACCTAACGTCAATCCACATAAATAATATAGGAACCATGTGTCTCGTCCCACACAGGATTTCTGAATATTTCACCATGCACTGTCACTTGGGAAACTAGAACACAAGAAACAGGGTCCTGCTTCAGTTGTTTTTTATTTAAATAATGTAAGCCATGTCGCTGTTGGGCTTCTTTCTATATACTGTACTGTATGTAGAGAGGGTTTCAATGTATGAATCTAGACAATGCAGTGTAGCCCCACCTTAGACGCATATTTGATGGTGATGTTTAACTCATCCTGTAATAGTGTTACAAAGGGAATACATGTGAATGTGGTTGTTGCCATTGCATTGAGAGAATTGTGAAAATGGAATCTTCATTTGCATGTGTTTTGGCACTTTTGTGTTTTTATATTTGCGTCGCTTTTCCATCTGCATTGCGTTTCTCCTAAAGGAAATGTTTTGGGCCGTATCAGCGCGTATGCATCTGCTGGCCAACGTAAGCAACCTTACAGCAATCAATCAATTCCGAAGATCTATTTGTCCATAGGTTTGGCGAGTGATTACAATTCGTACGGCCCTTTGTTGGTTCTCTTAACTGATTTCAGCTGAAGCTACAGTACTTGCAACATCTATTGCTTGAGAAGTAAATGACAGGCCATTACTTGTCTTCTTTTTATTCAACGGCTCACATCAAGGATAAAAGGATCATTTGAAGAATCCCATTGCTTTGGGATTCAACACCTTCATCCTGAATCAATTGATGTGTTCTACCATGATTTGCTAAAGTTTCAATCTTCTCAGTTTTTAAAGGTTACCCAAACGTTTTTAAAATGCTAATGCCTCTCAATCTATGGTCAATCAATAGGTAGAAGTTTAAAAATCATTACAATGATAAATGCATTTAGCTCATTTATTCTAGGCAGTTAACAAAAGTGATTAGTGCTGTTCCAAAGGTTTCTCACAGCCTCCGCTAAGTGAAAAGAGTGATAAGATCTGGATTATTGATGTATAGGCAATCAATCTGCATTGCTTCCTCCTGTTATATGCCTCCTGTTATATGCCTCCTGTTATATGCCTCCTGGGCTCAATTTGGCTACAATTCATGTTCCACCTGTCCTACAAAAACCTTTAGGAGGAGATTAGGCATAAGCCTCACTTTCTTACAGTGCGTTCAATCTCTTACTGGAAGTTTTAGAAATGTAATAATGGACAATAATGTTGAAACATTTCATTATACCAGATATGAATGAATGGAAAAATGATTTTATGGAAACCTTTATCTTTTTCCTTACTTCTACAAAGGTTATGTTTTTAGTCCTGTATCATTTGTCAATTTGTCTGTTTGCTTTTATATTGCGATCCAGTAGTTTGTAAAGCTGTACTTAGATCAAATGGACAAATTAAATGTGGACCTGTTGATGATGCTCCCCCCCAGGACACCCTGTCCGCACTGTGCACCTCTTTTTCTCACGGGGAGATACCACAGTTCCTTTTTCTCCCTGCAGTGGTCAGACAGTCTATCCACCATGCCTCCTGGTAGACCACCATACCAACAAAGACTATCACTGATGTGCGATAACACTATCAAAACCTGTAAATATAATATACATTCAGATGATCTGAGGGGAATTTCTTGATTTTTGTTTTCAACTTGTGATGTGTGACTTTGTAAAGCGCTTTGAGCTGCATGTGATGTATGAAAAGTGCTATATAAATAAAGCTTTATTATTAAAGCTTTATTACTCATCCACTGCAGGGCAAATAAAGGAATACCGATTCTGATTCTGATTCAACCTCCAGAGCGGGAACAATCGATGTATTTAGGAATCCATTCAATAGTTCTATTCTGACGACAAATGTTAACCTGCTCGGGGATCAATCAAGACCTCTCGGTTCAAGAAATCTCAGAATTGTTTTTAATTGGAATCCCTTCATTAGATGTTAATATATTTCCGTACAGAAGTTTTAAATTAAAACAACATCCCTACAGCAGCACTGCTAGCATGGCAAAACAATAACTTGATTAAAAATGTTAACAGATCATGTGACATCAGTTCCTGGCATCAAAAATAAGTATTCCAAGTATTTCGTTTTTTCGCCACATTTTAAAGGTGTGTCAAATGTAGATGACAGATGCATTTGAGGACTGTGTTGCCTCGATACAGAGATATAAAAGGTATTCAGCCAGAGAATAGTTTTCTTCTGCTGCTTTTTTAATGCAGAGTGATTTAATCCTTTGCATTTGTAATTATAGTGTATTAACACTTATTATCAGATGTAGAATCCTTCGGTCTTACGGGCCGTCTCCACGGCAGCGTTAAAAAAATCTTGGAGGTGGGCGTATCTGAAGCTTGAGGATTTTTTGCGAGCAACCAATCACATGAATCTCCCGCCCGCGACATACGAAGCAAAAAAGCCCGAAGTAAACTGGATATAAACTCCCAAAACAGGCGAAAACCTACCACTGTCTCTGCCACCTCCCTCCATGCCTGGTTCCTCCGGTTTATATCCCGGTAGGTCTGGTCATAAAGCACCGGGTGATTGATTCGCTACCGCTAATTTCTCCTCCATTTTTTGGAATATGAGGAAATGACCTGCGGTATTTCTCTCCCAGCATACACGCCGTTTGATTGGCTAGAGCTTGAACTGTCAGATTTGCGTACACAGGATTTGATTGGCTGACGCTTCCACCTCAGCCTCAAAAGTTGAACATTGTTCAACTTTGGATCTTGAAAATCCTGAGAATCTCCGCTCGCCTGCCCACAATGCATTTCGGCGAAAGCTAAAAAAAGTGACGTCACCCCATTCAAAGTGAATGGGCAGAAGCGTTTCAAGATTTTTTAACGCTGCCGTGGAGACGGCCCGTTACTATCTAAAAATGATAATATTTGGATGAATTTTGTTCTTGTGGGAAATGACTTATACTCTGATAATGATTGTTTTTGGGTGTGTATAATCCCTGTGTGTTTGAAGGACGTCTCGATGGCGGACAGCTATGTTTGTTTAAGATGATCAGTCAAATTACAATTGTCTGGATCTACACTAATCCCCCTTGTGTCTACCTGTCTCTGTCACCTTCATTCTCACGTCTGTTTATCGTCTGTTTTCTCTTTTCTTTACCTTTGTGATTAACTCCCAATCGTTGTTTAAACCTCTGGTCCTTTTATCCCCCCTTTGTGGCTTTATCTAGTGAATCCTTCCGATTTTCTTCGTTTTGAGTGCTTTTGAGTCAATTTAAAGACTGTGTTATCCTCTCTTCTCTCCCTGTAGTGCTGATGAGAGGTTTGATGCTACCTTCCATACAAATGTGTTGGTGAATTATTCAGGATCCTGCCAGTACATCCCACCAGGTGAGACACTTAAGATGTTCGTAATATTATATTTGACTAAGTATCAACTTTAATCATATTCAATCGTTCATTTAAACCGCTCCTATTGTTTTGGTGTTTTGTGGGTTTCATCTAGTGATAAAACTGGGCAGAATTCCAAGGAAAAGTAAACGATTTTAAGACACAAAGTTTTCACATAACTGCAGCTTGTTAACTGCTATTTAAAGTGTTTTTATTGTAGCATCTGCCATTGTATACTATTGAAATCAAAGTTATATGTGACATTTACATCTAACAGTGTAATATTTCTAACCAGATTTAGCCATAGCATTGTGGGATGTATGCTTATTTTTCAGTTACTTTAATCAGTTTTAGCAACTTCTACACCTTTTATTTTTATTTTAAATGATGTATTTTGGGTAATCAGTTGACATTAAATTAAATTGGGGTGTTTTTAAACACTAATAAAAGACTAATAGAGGGGCTTTTACAGTCATTGAATGTATTCCTCTGTGATGGATTAGAAACACTTTTGCCTGAGGGCTGTTGGCATGACGACATCCTTCAGCTAGCTTTCCTTCAGACCAGAGGCTTGAGAAAGTGAAGTATGAACTACTTTGCCAAAAAGGTAATTGTCCCCAACACTTATCTCCAGGCATCCTGAAGAGTACATGCTACATCGATGTGCGGTGGTTCCCCTTCGATGTGCAGAAGTGTGACCTCAAGTTTGGCTCCTGGACCTACAACGGCTGGCTGCTGGACCTCCAGATGATAGAAGCGGACATCTCCAGCTACATACCCAACGGGGAATGGGATCTAGTGGGTATGAAGAAAAACAGACATTAAGACACATTTTTGGGGTTTATGCCAAATGAAATGAATTATTAGCAAAAACCTCCCTTTAGCTCCTGGCTGGTATAACAAGAAATGTACTTACAAAGCTTTTTTACAAGTCTTTCTGACGGGATACATTTAGGACAAATGTATCATTACTGAAAAGAGCTTTCAGCACGCTGCTTCTTACATTAAGCAGTGATGCATTTGGTATGGATAAATGGGAAACTCTGAGTAAAGAAATAAATGTATAAGAAGTTCACGGTGACACGAGCGACACAGAGGAGGTGTGGGCTGATATGACGTTTCACTGACAGCACTCCCAATATATTTTTTAGACATGTTTGAGCAGAAAATTCCTTCTGGGAATCTGAAAGGCTCTGACACAGACAGACAAAGACTTTCAAAACATTAGCTAGGCCCCTTCATGTCATGTTCCTGGAAGTTAGACAACCAGTCAGTATGATATAGCTCTGACAGCAGGGTTTCAGAGCTGTAGACTTTCTTGTAAAGTGCCTGTCTATCAGTTCTGGTAAAAAATGTGCTACACTGCAGATAGCCAGGAACATTTTGCTGCCGTTTAGTGCTGACAGCTGATCAGTCTTGGCTACCACTCAGGGAAACCTCTGCATTTAGGAGGCTGGACTGCTCATTGTCTTTGTCCGTTCATAGAGAATGATTATTACCTGATACACCACTGTTTCTGGAATTGTGTAAGATTTATGGGACAAAAGGTTTAGTGGATCCCGTAGTTAAAGGTCCCATCATATGCTTTTCCGGTTATTACCCGTCCCCTTGTGTGTTATGTAGCTTTTTCTGCATGTAAACGGTCTGCAAAGTCACAAACCCTCAAAGTACACCATGTAGCGAGTAAAACTCTAACACAGAAAAGGCCTGCCTATGCTGCCCCAGAACGCCTCGTTGGAGATTTTTCTTTTTCCATTTTTTTCTTCCGGGGCATGGTGACGTCACTAAGTCCAAATGGACCAATTAGTCCAAATAGACCAATCCGCACACGCACACACACACACACACACACTCAGCCTGAGCTCCACGGAGCTACTCACTCACTCACTCGCTCACTCACTCACTCACTCACTCACTCACTCACTCACTCACTCACTCACTCACTCACTCACTCACTCACTCACTCACTCACTCACTCACTCACTCACTCACTCACTCACTCACTCACTCTTCCTGCAGTATGTAATACAGGTTTTTGTGCATGTAGATGTCCTGCAAAGGCAAAAATCCCAAAGTTTCTCTCCCACACACCCCCCCCCCTGCCTGCAAAGACTCCATTGGACTCCAATGTTTAGTTAGGTAACATAGTGACATCCCTTTGTAACACTTGCGTTTCTATTGGCTAGTGCTCAAACACATCATACCTGATATGCTAAGGGAGAGGGCATTTCCGACACATCTCTAAGCGATTGATTTTCTTTGTGTGTTGAACAAATTGAATAAACTATACATAACATGGTCATTGTAGAGCTTTAGAAGCAGCCGGTAAGCTTGGTTTGGCATAAAGCCTGGGAATAGAAAACAAAAACTAGTCTGAATAAACTGTGAAAACGACAATATGAGTTTTTTCGATGTGAGCAGCAGTTACTTCTAGCAGCTTTTGTTGGTAGTCCAGGAAGTCGGTGCTTTGTGAAAGAAATATTCTGGCATATAACCGCTCTATAAAAACATGTTGTTTTTCTTTGTTTTGTACAAATTGAAGAAACTATATACAACGTCGTGATTTGTGAGCTTTAGAAGTCCTGGTTGGCACATTTCCTTCCGGAGTGGACAGAGCCAAGCTAGCTGTTTCTAGGCTTTATGCTAATTTTCGCTGACTCTCTCCTGGCTCAGGCGACATATTAACCGCACATAGAAAGTGGTATCGATCTTCTCATCTAATTCTGCAAGAGAGCAAATACGCATGTTTACCATAATCGAAATTATTCCTTTAACGATCCAGCTTCAGAAAAACGGGATTTTTTGGCAGTATAATCTTTTTCCTATTTGTATTGGCTTCCTTATTGTTTTCTGACTTACGGTTAACTATCCACACACTACCTCCATGTGTCCCTTTGTGTATTAGAGTAAAACACATACATTCTCTTAGTTCCTTATTTTTCCCTTTTGTTTTCTTCTTGTAGAAATGAACGCATCATCTCTAACCAAAGTTGGATGTGTTAATCAGAGACAAACTGAATATTTCACACTGATACACACAAACATACTTACACACAAAGTGAGTGTACCCAGCTGGCTGAGGGGAATGGAGAGGGGGGGCACGGGTGTGTGAGGTGACAGCTGGCCCAGGGATGGTTCACTTAATTCAGGCACAGCCAGGCGTCAGGCTGGCCAAGAACACACACTGTCCTGGTGCCTTAGAACATTCACACACACACACACACACACACACACACACACACACACACACACACACACACACACACACACACACACACACACACACACACACACACACACACACACACACACACACACGCACACACGCACACACACGCACAGGGGTTTGGAGGATGCATCTGCAGGTATGCAATCCATCAAATTATTAGATGGCTAACAAAGGCTATTTCTCTTCAGCGTTCAAGTGACATCGTCTAAATGACATGAAATTGAATCCGTGCAATTCATGTAAATTGAATTTCTGGAGAAATGAACACTGTTTCCAAACACAAACACATATAGACACGGCTAGAATCAAGTCATCTTTGTGACACTACCCCACTATGACAAGTGCATTTTGAATATGTTGCTGATTGCATTGTACCAGGCCTTCATTCAGAATCACTTAACATGTAAAGCTATGAATGCTACATTGCTACACAGCTAATTGCTACAGCTGCTTGAGTACTCAACAGTTATTTTGGACTGTGAGCCACAAGTGACTCTCATATTTCTCTCACAGACTTACACTTCTCCGAATGTACATCAATTATAAGAAAAATATACTTGAAATAATTGGGCATAAGTAATGCTGACTTTATCACACCGTAACGTTTTCCTACACACATGAATGCACATTTCAGGATAAACACCTTAACAAGGTGACATTGTGTCTGTTGATCTGATTGAAAAGGCAGATTAGTTGCATAAGCCAACAAGACAAAGAAGGACACCGATGAGAATTAGAGATTAATAAATGATCTCTCTGATGAACTTTAAAAACGGGTCATTTCCAAATCCGAACATAGAGGATGGGTTTCTGTTTTTGAGTCTATCTTGCATTGTGGGCAATGGAATTAAAAAGACACTGCTTCTGCTGCAACTATTCTGCAATTGTTTTGTTTCTGGATAACCGTCCATTGTGAGTCCAACAATGTTATATTAGTGCAATGCTAAATCAATAGAGAACTCCTTTAAGTAGAAAAAGGTGAATTTTGTCCCTTATTTCTAATGCTAAATTGCTTTAAGAATTAATATATGAAGACAGGAGAAGCTATTAAACCCAGCAATACTACTTGCAATGTATTTTTGTACATAGCTACTGTACATACATACAAAACGGATGAAAGAGTGTAATTAAGTTTTGAAGTGGATCTTAATAAAGCTCTGAAAGTGCCCAACGACTATTGCTTGTGCTTAATAGTGATTTTTTATTAACCATATTTACCAAATGTATTATTAATCACAAAGTAAAAGCATGTTGGGAGGATTATAACTTTACATAAAAGATGATATCATGCCTTCATTGTGTTATGTACACTATTCATTTGGGCAGGAGGGCATTTGCTCTTTTTCAACGACAAGCTGCTTTTCACATGGTTACAAAGACAATACATTAGAGCTCAAATCCTAATCTGACTGGAGAAACTGACATCAAATCTCTAACCAACTGTACTCTAGGGTTAGGGTTATTTTAAAGCACCTTTTTATACACAGAGTGCTTGACAGGCAAAATATAAGATGCATCTGACAGGCTTGTATTGAGCAAACATATCTGAAACCAATTTGTGTCCAGACCATTCATTCGCTAATAGACAGTAATCAATTTTATATTCAACTTGAAGTCAGTGCTAATATCTAAGAAGAATAGATGTGCTTTCTCTTTCTGGTGTTTAAAAAACAGCTTTTTGTACGTGTATGTCCTAATTCTTGCCTAGACACAACGTTTTGAAATGTATTAAAACATGTTACGGTGCCAGTATGACAATATTGTAGCAGCTTCAATGTAGCCACTGGAATATAAATTAGATTTCATCAAGGTTCTTGATGTGCATTTTAAGTCATCTAATCTAGGTAAGCGGTAGTTATTATTTTGTATTGACAAATATCATATTATATATATTTGAGTCCTTTCTTTGTTTAATTAAAGGGGGTTTTGTTTCATATAATTGTTTACTTTCTAAGGGCACATACAGTAGACGAGGATAATCATTTGGTGGCAGTGAGAATTTGACTTTGAGGAAGGTATATCATCAAATGTATGTATGTATAATAAAATGTTTCCTTGTAGTAAAGTGTATTATTACATTGATTAAAGGCACATGGACAGTGGGAAGTAGAGCATTTATTATACAAATGTCTATGAAATTCACTTTTTTCATTTTGTTCATGGACTAAAACAAGTGAATTTATGACCAAAAATGTACACTATGAATCATATTGACAGTTTCCAATAAAAAAGGTAATACGTCATGCTTTCTGCCAAGTGCTCATCATAATGTCTCATTTCACAAGGTCTCCTAAAATGTATCAGCCAAACCGAACTGAGAACATGAGCTTTATGTATATTTCTATCTAGTTCAGATCTTCCCACCTCTTCATTTCCCCCCCAGGTGTGCCGGCAAAGCGCAACGAGCTGTACTATGACTGCTGTAAGGAGCCCTACCCCGATGTGACGTTCACAGTCACTATGCGCCGCAGGACACTTTACTACGGCCTCAACCTGCTCATCCCCTGCATGCTGATCTCAGGTCTGGCCCTGGTGGTCTTCCTGCTCCCCGCTGACTCTGGAGAAAAAATCTCACTCGGTATGTGGCAGGACACACACCCACACACCCACACACACACATTAGTACATCCCTGCTCACTAACACCATAATGAATATTGTCATATTTGTACGACCAATTTTCCCTTTTTACAATGTTTGATCATTAATGATAAAGTGAAATAATCTATGATAATTTGACTATTTTGTGACGCAGACAAAGGCGGTAGATTTAAGTCTTTGCTCTTTTATTGTGATCTGTAAATAGATACCGTCTGTATCCCTTCTTATGGGACTTATTCTTAGCCAATCATGAGCGAGGTAGGCCATGATCATGTCCCATGAGCATGGCTGTCTTTAAGTAAGCTTGTTTCGAAAAACATATTTATGCCAATTTGTTCTGGCTGAAATAAATCGACAACATTTTCTTCTTAACAATATAATTATCATTAGCCTCTGTTATGATAGTTTAATATTTCCAAGCCAGCAATTCTAGCTTAATTTAGATTTCACTTGTTAGCAGATGAATACAAGTTTTACTTTAAACACAGCGAAGATAATTACCTGGACCTGAACCTTTCAGCTTGTTTCACCATGCCATTCAGTGAGACAGGCTCAGAGTCAATATATAACTGCAAGTAACCCCGGGTGGGTAGAAAAGAGAGTGAATATTCCAAAATAAATCCACAGCTTTTGAGTACTCACAGTAAGTCACTATCCTCTGTGCTTCTGCTCCACTGTCTCTGCAGGCATCACCGTGCTGCTGTCTCTAACAGTGTTCATGTTACTGGTAGCAGAGATCATGCCTGCCACGTCAGACTCTGTTCCTCTGATCGGTAAGACACTTCTATGCTAACTATTGCGCGCTTTGATGATTTTTCTGACTTTGAAAGTGATGCAAAAGAAAGAAATAATCAGGATGAGTCAGAAAAAGAAACAAGGGTTAATGTGCTTAACAGATAGCTATTTGGGGAGACATGTACTCATTATGTACATTAAAGGAATAGTATGAAAATACACATTTTCTTTCATGGTGTTGGGTGATATCATGTCTGTACGGTAAAAATGAATCCAGAGCCATAAGCCTGTTAGCGTATCTTACACAAAGACTGGGAATTGAGACACGCTGGCTCTTTCAGAAGCTGATACAAATAATGATCTTGTTAACAATGAGGCCTCTCCTTTGTTAGCTCGTTTAGACATTACAAGGCTACCTGTTTCTTTACGCTAAGCTATCTCCTGGCTCCAGCTTCCTATTGATTCTTTCTGTGAATGTGTGTTGCGACAGAGCACATTTTTGCCTCGGTTTTCCTGCTGTCCAGGTTTGTGCAGTACATATCGATTTACCCCAAAACAGCTACTGTATCTAATAGACATACATTTACTGTAAGCTAGCTAGAATCAAACGCAAACTGTATATGCGTGTGTGTGTTTTTGATTTTTTGTGTTCAACTAACCAGATACTCAAGATGTTTATTTTGTGCAGCAATAACGCAAATACCTTGAATTCGTTTGAAGTATAAGTATGTAGGATTTAGTGCCATCTAGTGGTACGTTCATAGATTGCAACAAACTGAGAACCCCTCCACTCACCTCTCCCTTTCCAAATGTGACGTAGAACCTACGGGTCTTCAGGTATTAATGAAACGTGAAAGGTATTCACAAGAGCCAGCATGAGTTTGTTCCCCTTCCCGGGTACTCTATACACATGGCGTATTTATTTTTCGCACCTGAATCTGACATTCATCAGGGAGCAGTGGGCACATGCTAGAAAGGCTACAGAGTGTTACAGCGTGGAGACTTTTACTCATTAACTATTGATCCGGTGTAAAAAAAACAGCTGAATGACTTACTGCCTCGATACGCTGGACGTGGCAGGTTGTGAAGATCAATCTCAGAGTAGAGGACCAACAGAGCTGCATTGTAAAAGGCCACACTGATACAGATCATAAGAGACAAGGAAGCCGGCCTTGGGGTGGGAGGAGAGGCTGCAGACAGAGATGCTGCTCGGCATCATTTGGCAGCTCAGTGATGCAGAACCAACCCCCTTAACAAACCCACATTTCATTGGAGGAGACGCACTAACATAAAGCAGGTAGTGCAGAACTGATTGATGGAAGAAAATAAAATACTCATCAACATTCACCCTGACAGGTTTTCAATCTGCAATTATACCTTGATGTGAACATATTTACTAAAGGATTTCATTGGTCGGCTTTTCTGACGTCAAAGCTGCATCAAAATGACAAATTACTTGAAGACAGAAATATATCTAACATTTTTGTGTATTCAAGTTTGTGTTTGTGTGTGTGTGTGTGTGTGTGTGTGTGTGTGTGTGTGTGTGTGTGTGTGTGTGTATTCAAGTTTGTGTGTGTGTGTGTGTGTGTGTGTGTGTGTGTGTGTGTGTGTGTGTGTGTGTGTGTGTGTGTGTGTGTGTGTGTGTGTGTGTGTGTGTGTGTGTGTGTGTGTGTGTGTGTGTGTGTGTGTGTGTGTGTGTGTGTGTGTGTGTGTGTGTGTAGGGGGAAGTACACTTACCTACGCTCATGTGTTATGCATTTTCATGTTTCTGGGGCTGCAAATGCCAATGGGTTAGTACATTAAGAAGTACATTTTAGTCAGCCTCCCACACATTTCTGGGGTGGGATGACAAGGGTAACTTGACCCCTACTAACCAAACAACTTCGCAACTGTCCTGCCAAAACACTACGTTTACCTTTCATGTTACTTGAACTTCATTCAGAATGTAATGGTCTCTATTCCAAATGGAAATTGCTGTGCCAAACATGTCTGCTCTTCTCCTCTCAGCTCAGTACTTTGCTAGCACCATGATGATTGTGGGCTTGTCTGTGGTGATGACAGTCCTGGTACTACAGTTCCACCACCATGACCCCCATGGAGGGAAGATGCCTAAATTGGTAGGTTTAAAGTACTTTTTAAACTCGATAATTAATCATATGCCAATTGCGATTTGTAATTACCACACAAGTTATTCATATTGGTGCATTTAACTACTCATATAGGCTATGGCTCCTATTTGTTGAGTGACATGTAATTCAAAAGTTGACAAAGGTTGTGTGAACACAAAAGCTTGACTAACATGTGTTTTAACCCACATTTTTACCCTTGATACTGTATGAAAATATTTACTAAAGTATTTCATTGGTCAGCTTTTCTGGGAGGTTGGTGACGTCAAAGCTGCATCCCATTTTTTTACCCAAATTGTTAGTTACTTTTTATGTAACACAAATGCTTCTGTCATCAAACAAGCGAGAGCAATGTGTAAACACAGCTGACTGCAGTTATTTTATTTTTAAGCTTTTGTTTGATTTTAAAGTTGACAAATGTCTTAAGCAAATGAAGGGAACCCCCAACATATGAGCAAAAATCATAAAAATAATAAATAATTAGCTTTTCAATTTCAATCATACCATTATTAAATATGAATGCACACTATGGAAGTTAAACCTCATAATTGTTCTGTATGCCAGTGAAACATTGTGCATCATCCCCTACTAAAACCTTAACAAATATAGAGCTGGCAGAGGTAAGATTGGGGGTCATTTTTACTGTCTCGCCATTTTTTATTCTCATACGAATAAAACTTACATATTTTGGTGTATGACTCTCCATTCTCTCTTCTGTCTTCCATCTATCTGTCTTATGTCCTCTTCTCATCTAGGTGCGAATTGTCTTACTCAACTGGTGCGCTTGGTTTCTCCGCATGAAGAAACCTGGAGAGGAAAGAAAAACAGCTGTGAGCTCAAGTAACCCCACCAACTACAAGTACTCCCAGCCTCCTCCTGCTCCTCCTCACCATACCAGCAGCAACAGCATTCCGATGAGCACCATACCAGGGCAAGCGCCCACCCAGTCAACCACGACCAACGGGAACATGAACCTGTACTTTGGCTACCACACCATGGGTACAGAAAACCCCACTTTCCCACCAAGCACAGATTCAGGCATGGTGCTGTGCGGCGGCCATCCTAACGGCTCCTCCCTTCAAGAAACCCACTCAGAACCGTTGCAGACTTTACTGCCAGAGCAGGTACCGCAGATTTCACGGATCCTCGACGAGGTGCAGTACATAGCCGGGAGGTTCCGAGAGCAGGACGAGGGACTGGCGATTTGCAGCGAGTGGAAGTTTGCAGCGGCGGTGGTGGATCGGATGTGCTTGGTGGCTTTCTCTCTCTTCTCCATCATCTGCACCTTCACCATCCTCATGTCGGCTCCCAATTTCATAGAGGCAGTGTCCAAGGACTTTGCATAAGAGCCCTCTCGTCCCTCGGAAAAACAGATGCAAATATAACACTTAAAATCCTGACACAATTAAAACGGTAGCCTCCCTGCTACAAATACATGAAGCCACACACGTTTCAGTTATTTTAAAAGTCCCTCCATCTTCAAATGTTTGTGGTTGTTTGGAGATAGTGTGATTTTTGCTTTTCAAGGTGGCTCTTTCCTTGCTAGCAGTATGCATCGTAGGAGGTTGAGGCTACATGCTGTGGTTAATGATCTAGAAACTCACACTAATGCACTTACTGCTCTACCACATCATGTACCTGCCACCACCTGGGTCTCATGTCTCATCAGAGTATATACAGAATACTTCTCCCCTTCGCTGGAAGCGCTTCTCATCTACAAATGTCTTAATGTCTTCAGGTGTTACTTCAGTACAGTCCATAAAGTTCAAAGTACAGTTTTAGGAATAATTTTTAAGGCCTGTTTTCTAGCAATTATTTGGCATTTTGTAGATAAATGTTGGTGAATTTACTGAGAGCTCCAAGTGTTAACCCATGGCACTGTACATCTCACTTGTCTTTTAACTTTTTAACTAGAGCTGCAACTCATCCTATTTTACTTTGTTATTCATTTTACTAACTGTCTTGATTATTTGATCATTCCTATTGTACATAGAATGTCAGAGAATATTGAGACTGTAATTCCCAAGATTGATCCAATCAACAGTTCAAAGATAATAAATATACTATCTTATATGTAAAAAACTATTTCTCACATTTGAAGAGCTGAACAAAGCAAAGGTTTTGCTTGAAAAATCACTAAAATAATCTATAAATATTTAAAATGGTTGATTAACATACTTGAGCTGGGAGGTCATTTCAGCTCAAATGAAAAAATGTCCATCTTTAAAAAAAATATATATATATGTAAGTATCGGATTATTTCTTATGTACCTCTTTCTTGCCTTTGATTATTCCCTTGTTCTTCATTTTTTCCACCAATGTTCTATTGTAATTGTTTTTATTGCATAGCATACAGTCAGGTTCTATATCCCTAAATGTGAATAGATGTTTTACCATTGCCAGTGAAAAACCAGATCAAAGACATGAACAGTTTTGCTCTGTGTTTTTTAAAAGTAATTTCAAAAGGGATCCCTCAACAGTTCTCCTTTCCTCCATCCCTTGTGCTAAAACATGATATAAAGAAATGTAGTCTATTTGTAAATCACTGACAAATATCACAATGTATTTTTATTTTGAGTGTAAATCAATGTTTGTCTTACTAACTTGTCATCCAACTTGTGTGCTTGCACAAAGCATTGATATGTTTGGAGAAAAACCTCAGAATGAAGAAAGAAAATCAACTCAAGTCCTGTTTTAAAGACAATATTAGCTCTTTTGGGGGATTTTTCTAAACGATTCTGATGGGAAATCACCCCAGGACAGATTGCATTTGGTACTAATCCTTTGTGGTGCTGAGTGATTTGTGTTTTCATTACTCTCTAATACTCAGCGAGGGCAAACACTTTCTTCTCTAATCTCTAGCAACAACATGCTACAAGGATTACTGCGTGACCTTATGTAACAGATTTGTGTTAAACCTTCTCACCACCCGAGTGTCCCATCTGATCTGTAGAGGTACAAGAATCGTGCAAGTTCCCACTTTAACGCGCGCAACTGAACTAACGGAACTCTCCAAAATAGCACTTGGACATTTAAAGTGGAAGGATGGAAGAACTAAAACAACCAAATATTGTTATTTTGCTGAAATAGTAACTGAAATGGATTGCATGCTGTTACAGTTGATCAATGGGCCAAGTGGAGACAAATAGTCGCTACCATTGACTCCCATTCATCACCCTATGACTCTGAAAAGCATTTAAATGTCCATTTCCACTTATGGACAGACAGGACAAGGTGAAGCCAATCTTGTCTGAAATGTACATGCAGTAGGTTTGATTTTCATATTCCTTCATTTTTGATCAAGTGTTGCAGATTCAATCATGATTTCATAATCTTTAATTCACTTTTATGTCTAGGAAGGAATTTGACATTTATTTGGTTAAAACATTTACAATGTGGTCAGTTTTTTTGAATAAAGTGTATTGGTATTAGAGTTGCATATTCGTAATATCAAAGGGATAGCTCACGAGAAGAAGATATAAACTGCTCTGGTGGCATGGATCTTCTCATCTTTCTCTCGTTGGTCACGGTTTCCACTCTTTGTGCTAAGCTAAGCAGCTACTGGCTTTAGCTTTATATTTACTCTCACCAATTAACACGTTATATCTCTTTAATTTAATACATACAGAAAAACATGTGTTCAAACATAGAAATAGTGATAATAATGTTTCCTGTTGTTTCCAGTCGATATATATAGGTAATTACCTGCTTGCTTTAGCCATGTCTAAAAAAAGAAAAAATGAAATAGGGCTGTTACAATATCATATTTCCACCTTGTGACTATAGTGGCCCAACGATTTTACAAACACTTGTGATATCTAAAGGCAATTTGATAGAAAAAACTCTGTTGCCAGTCTTTATGCTAAGCTAAGCTAATCGGCAGCAGACCATAGCCTGATATATTTGGGACGGACATGTCAAGTGTGGTATCAATCTTCTTGTTTAACTCTTGTCTAGAAAGTGAGTAAGAGTATTTTCCCAAAAGTTTTATTATTCCTCTAATGTTAGTATATTTTTCATTGGACATTGTGTAGATTGTAAGATTCTGGGGTTACTGCAGGTGAACACTAAAGGCTGAGCACTGATGATGTGGGAGAACAGTTTAATTGTTTTGTTGATGAAGGAACTCATGTTGGTTTGTTATTTTTGCTTGTCAAAGTTCATGTGCACAGAAGTGGGAAAATGGGGTCTTCGTAAGTAGCCTATATGCTACTTAATAGATCGATGAATATGCAACATCTCGATCTCTGACTTAGACACAGTGGAGTGACTCACATGAGACGTGGAATTAGAAGTGTCTTCTAAAAACCTGCAAGTTGGACTGATTTATGTAGATACTTTGTGAGATAACCTGACCTATCTCTACTGTTAGTTACTCACGTTGATGTCTATTCAATATACATTGTTCTTGTGAGAAGCATTTACAGTATGGCACTGACAGTGTTGGATGGAAATTTGCAAATATGACTGTACTGAGAATATTAAAAGATATGTAGATCTTCTGGATAAAAGACATGTCACAGCTATGTTAAATTGACTCAAATTGCATCGTGCAAAGTGAAACTGTCGAATGATATTGAAAAGTACACTGTAAATGAGAGTTTGACTGTTTGCCACGCTGTCACATGCTTCTTTTGCTTCTTCTTAAATCACCAGTGTTGTATTTTAGTCAACTTGAGTGTCTTTTTATTTGTGGTCTGTGCCTCTCTGCTCAATATGATTCATTCTCGTTTAAAGGATGTCCATACACGCTCACTGTACATGACAAATAAAGAAGAAATGTGATAATTACTGGCATTTGAGTGGCTGACATGCACCAATTCACTAAATATTACATTTTAAAAGTGCTTTCACTCACCAACGTTGTCAGAACATATCGTTCCTTTCTTGGAGTGGCCGGGTTATGACAGGGTTGCTCATGTCGATCTGACTGGACTAGACAGTGGTAACGTCAGCTTTTTATCTCATGTGCCTGGTAACAGCATGTTTTATTCTTAGCATACAATGAAAAGTGACATTTTACATCTTACAAAAAAAACAATAAAACAGGAAATGTTGATTTTTCTACTGTAAAAGTTTCAGATCTGAATGAATCTAAAAGCCACAAAGATAGCTAATAAGCATGATTCCCAAATGCCAAACTATTTAACCACTACATTTTAAATAACAGTGTGCCAACAACTGAGCCTATTATCTACTTGATCAGTTTTTTTATTGCTTTTTATTTTTTATTGACAAGCTGTCACATATCCCAATTTCACACTGCCTTACATTTAATTGAACAATTTTTATTCTTTTTGAATGTTTACATCTCATACACCAAATCGAAAAATATTGTGGTTTCCTATCTTGGGAACAATATTTGTAAATGGTATATGTGTGTCTGTTCCATGAAGTTTAAGGCCAAGCTTCAGACTACTGCACTAAGATTGTAAGCCTCTCTGCTCCCAGGGCTGATGCGTTTAACGTGAGCCCAGATGTGAAAGGGCCGAGTCCTTCTTCATTTCCCAGCAGGAACGAATGATTGAGATACTGTAAGCCAAGTCAGGAGGCATCCAATCTCCTTACTGATATTAGTTAAGACAGTTTGGCAGCTCACACACACACAAACACACATGCACGCTCAGAAGAGTGATGACTTGTTCATATCTAATCTCAGGCTTCACTGGGCATAGACAGACAACTGTTGGTGTCTGGAATTCAATTTTAATCAGACCATGCAAACAAATTCACAAACCTTTAATTTGTCAACATGCAGAGCTGTCCCACAGTCCAGCCCTCCCTGCAGACTGCCCCAGAAGAGCTTCCCTTCTTCTGGTCCTGAGATGGAACAAACCACCTGGGTTGTGGGGGTTTGAGTTAAGCAATCCTGGTGAATAATGTTAGCTGTTTTTTTTGGTACCGTTCCTGCCAGGTCAGATGGAATAGATCTCCCTGGACATTGTGTTAACGTAAAGACCACACACCTGCCCCTCCTGTAAGATCCACTGTATAAGGCACTTTGTAGAATTATTGGCACACCCCCCATCTGGTCTTCAGGTGGGGACTGTGCATATGTTCCGACTGGGCCAAACAGGTGCGACCTTATGCATGACTGAGGCCTAATCAACACATTCACAGGTAAATACATTTTCTAAACAAATACAAAATAAACTAAAAACAATTCACATGAACTATAGCATTAAATCTAGAAATGAGTCGTCATTTTTAGCACTTCCTGTTTCGTTGTCTCAAAGTCAAGTTTCATTTTACATGGGTTTTCGGTATGATGCCTGCACTAGGGTCTGGAGCTAACAAAAGCTTCAAAAACTGTACATCACCAAAATCAGCTGAAGACCACAAACATTTAGAGTGACTGTGCCATACTTTAGTCTTGTTTTACTCCTTTCCTCCCCCTGCCTCCTTATTATGAATCCTAACCTAATAGCAAAATGGCCTAAAGTACATTCATAGTTTTTCATAGTGCGTCATTTGTCTCATACAATATTAAATCAGGAGAAAGGAGTTTAATAAAGGAGGTCAGTGGCTGTGGATTAAACAGAAAATCATGCATGTGTGAAGTCATTTGTGCAGTCACTATGCACTAGTTGACTTGCACAAAATTAAAACATTACACTGCATCACTGTGCTTTCCCAATCCAAGGGCAGAAACTTACTGCAGCAAGTAAAATCTGTTTTTCTCACCATCCGGGTATGAAAGTGGTATTAATAATAGAAAGGGTTCACCTCCGAACTGACATGTCCTGATGATGACATGCTCCTCCGCTCCCTTCACTGGCTTCCAGTAACTGCTAGCGACATCGTGTTTCATGGCGAGGGATGCGTTTCCATGGAAACGGCATATGATGACACCCCATAATTGACATAGAGCTGTTGAGGGCCGGACCATTAACCATTATCTGAAGTCTGGTAGGTATCACGACAACATCGTGTTTTAAGGCGAGGGATGCGTTTCCATGGAAACGACACATGGTGAGATCTCAGATTTGGCGTAGAGCTGTTGAGGCATGGACCGGT